TGATATCTTTGCTCTTGAACACTTTAAAGAGGTCTTTTGCAGCAGATTTGCTTAGTGCAACACGCCATTTAATTTCTTGGCTGCTGCTTTCTTGAGTGTTGATGTAATCCAATAGACACAATTGAACAAATCATTGGCCACATAACTGAACTCAATATCAGACCTTATGGTCCCCAGAGATCTTATATCACAGGTGATTCTTTCTGAGATGGGCAGCCATTATTCAACATGAGTCATTTATTAGCATAAATTCTCATGTATGGTTCAAGCTCTGATATTCCAATCACTCAAGAAAGTCTAACAGTTTAGAGGTTACCTCCTTGGAATTGGGGAGAAAGATTAAATTCTTTGTAAAGTCATTCTTAACCATGCAGGTTTATAAAGTTAAAGCGTTCTAAGGCCCTAATATTGATTGGGAAGAGGTATACATGATAAGTAATACAAAGCATGTACTACTTTTATAATAAAATGTATATCCTAATGTGGGTTTGAGAACAGATAAGTTTCTTAAATATTTAAAACCACAATCACTTAATGATTTTTGAGTAATATATTGTTGTGAAGTGCAGCCTGGTGTTGGTGTTGGCTGCTTGCTGTGGAGTCTGTTCTAACTCATAAGGACCCTGTATATGGTTTCCAAGGGTGTAAATCATCACAGGAGTAGAAAGCCTCATTTTCATCTGTGGAGCGGTTGGTCAATCTGAACTGCAGGACTTGCAATTAACAACCCAACTCATAACCCACTATGCTACTGGTGCTCCTTATATATAATGTTGTTGTTGTTTGTTGTTAAGTGCCAGTGAGTCAGTTCTGACTCACAGTGACCCTGTATAAGTTTTCCAAGGAGCAGCCGGTGGATTTGAACCGCTGACCTTACAGTTCAAACTGACATTGCAGTTGAGTGCTTACCCAACAGTGTCACACCAGCACTCCTGTATATAATCTGTTGTTGTTATGTGCCATGGAGTCAGTTCCGACTCATAGTGACCCTATACAGGATTTCTGAGGCTGTAAATCTTTACGGGAGCAGAAAGCCTCGTCTTTCTCCTGCGGAACAGCTGGTAGTTTCAAACTGCTGACCTTGAGGTTCACAGCCTGATTTGTAACTACTACACTATCAGAGGGTTAATTCACAAACTAGTTCATTCATCCAATTCTACAAATGATTCTTTTCCTTGTGTTTACTAGGAGTCTGGCAGTTTGCTAAATACTGCTCATTCTTAAAGGGCTCATAGTCTAAGGAAAGAGACATAGACCTAGGCTCATCTCAAAGAGTCTATATGTGCAGTGATTGGAATATGCTTGTGGTATATTCAGAGGCATCAAAGAGAGACAGCCCACCCTCTGGTTTTGGGAAGGTTTTCTGATGGAAGTGATTTCTATGTTGAATGTTAATGATTGAACAGGTGTTTGACAGGTAAATCTACATATTTAATATTTAAAAGTTATAGTAGTAGGACACATTTAAGTTACTGAGTTGAACACAAACTATTTGCTATGCTTCTTTTAGTTAATGAGTTCAACTGAATGACTGAATCATTTATGACTGACTTTAGGCAAAATTGTTGCGGATAGTTCAAGGTTTCTTTGTTGTTATTTCTGTGTGCCGTTGAGTTGATTCCAAATCATAGTTATCCTGTATAGAGTTTCCGAGGCTGTAAATCTTTACTGGAGTTGAAAGCCGCATCTTTCTCCCGCGGAGCAGCTGGTGGATTTAAACTCCCAACCTTTTGGTTAGCTTGTCTTTAGAATCTTCTTAAGAAAGTTTTCTGATTCCTTTCTCACCCCTTTTAAAGTCTTTCAGTGGTGCAATGGTTAAACACTTGGATGCTAACGGAAAGGTTGGCAGTTTGAATCTACCCAACAACTCTGAGGAAGAAAGACCCAATGATCTGCTTCTATAAAGATTCCAGCCTAAAACACTCTACGGAGCAGCTCTTCTTTGTCTAATGGAGTTGCTATGAGTTGAAATGGACTTGACAGCACACAACAGCAACAGCAAAAACACTACTGTGAAGTGTAGTGCTTTCCTGATGCCCAGCCAATACCAAGGGGGTACCAGTGGGTTCCCTAAGGTGAGGGTTTTCTTCCTCTTTTACGCTACAGCAGTGTTGAATCATTTGTACCTATGACTGTTTTATTGGATAATTTGGTCTTGGTAGGGTGCAAACAGAAAGGAACTTTAAATTTACTGATCATGTTTACAGCAAGCATATTCTGATGTCCTATTTATTTCCATTTCTGGATTAGATTTTGGGCTGATATAATAGCTTTTCTAACGATTTTTATAGCCTCATATGGATGCGAAAGCTGGACAGTGAATAAGGAGGATCGTAGAAGAATTGATGCCTTTGAGTTGTGGTGTTGGAGGAGAATACTGAGGGTGCATGGACTGCCAAAAGAACCAATAGATCTGTTTTGGAAGAAGTGCAGCCAGAGTGCTCCTTGGAGGCCAGGATGGCTAAGCTTCGTCTCTCCTACTTTGGACATGTAGTCCGGAGGAAACAATCGTTGGAGAAGGATGTCATGCTGGGTAGGGTGGAGGGTCAGAGAAAAAGAGGAAGACCTCCAACGAGATGGATCGGCCAGGTGGCATCATTGATGGACTCGGGGGTGGCAGCGGTGGTGAGGTTGGCCCAGGATCGAACATTGTTTCGTTCTGCTGTGCATGGAGTCGCTATGAGTCGGTTCCGACTCGATGGCACCTGACAACAACAACAACAACAACAATGATTTTTAATATTAATATATAATCTCCTTATCCAGTCTAGTCTAAAACCAGAATTTTAGTTTTTAATCAAAAGTAAAATTTACTCCTTCGTACTGGGCCTAACTCAAGGGTTGATCTGCTTTACTTTACCCTTCTAGTCCTCTTCTCTCACATCACTATGCTGCTGCTGATTAATTCAGGTTTAGGACAGGGAGAAGACAGACCTGAAAGAAAGCTCCTTCCTTGAGTGGAATATCTATAATCACTCACTGTTGCTTTCCAGCTACGGAAAAGTTTTGGGTGTGTGTGAAAGCTGCCCCAAATGCAATTCCCTAACACAACTCCACACAGACTCTCTTTGGTGTTGACTTACTTCTCCATATAGTACTTTTGGGATAGTGTAAGATGGCTCACATTGGTGAACTGCTATAGGAGTGACTTAATTCAAACGTGGGTATTTTGTATTTACCCTACTATTGATGGGATTCAGTTTGCTCCCACCATAGCCCATCTCTCCCTGCTCTGCTTTCAGAGGCACATCCTCAATGACAGCCTTTACACGTTTTCCCAGATAGACACCAGGGAGAGTTGTGGTGTTCCTCAAACACGGGGAACAAAATTAAGCCCTCTGAATGGCTTTCTTGAGGTACCATTCACTTTTCTTAGGAAGATCACACAGCACACTAACAACTAATAACTAAAGATATTCTCACAGACGAGGATGATGAGCTAAGAGTTTTGAGACAACAATTCACAATCTCCTAGTATATCCAATATGGATATGTGAAGTTTCTGCTAAAAACACAAGGCAACAGGCTGTTACGTCTTTTAAAAAAGGTGTTTAGAAAACCATGTTAAAAATAACTAATTTGATTCATTTTTCTTTCCAAAGTTGTGTGGCCATTAAAAAAACAAAGATCAAAACACTCCTAAGAATAAATACTGCAATTTTTTTTTCTTTTTAAAAGCTTTTTATTATGAATTTATTGAAGGTTCACAGAACAGATAATCAGTTTTACACTCAATAAATCATATACTTTGCTTCATTACACAGATGCAATAGCCAATGTACCAATAGTTGACACATTAACCTTGATGCACTTTAACTGTTTTCCTGTGTCGACCTCTATCGTGTTCTCTTTCCTTTGCTAGCTTCCCTCTTGTTGTATATTGCCTGCCTTGTAACCTATGTTAACATGTGTCTACCTTTTATCCCATAAATAATTTTCCCTTCCTTTGCCCCTAACCATCACTTATTGTTTCTTTTATCAAGAAAATCTTTTAAAAAACTTTTTTACAATGTTGGTTTCATATGTTATTTGTCCTTTTGTGGTTGACTAATTTTATTCAGCGTAATGCCCTCCAGTTTTAACCACATTATGAGGTTTTTCATAGATTCATCAGTATTCTTCAGCACTTTGTAGTATTCTTTTGTGCGTATGCACCAAAATTTGTTTAACCATTCTTCTGTTGATGGGTATTTAGGCTGTCTCCATCAATTTGATGTGTCTTTTGTAGACAGCCTATTGAAGAATCCTGTTTTCTTAACCAATCTGCTCTTTAT